ACTACAGAGGCAATAAGGATCCTAAATATGTGTGTATTATTTCTTTGCAGGTTTTCATGTCTTCATTACACCTGTATCCACCCTCAAGAAATATATCCCTTTTTTTTAATATCCAAAAGAAAAAAAAAAGGATCCAGTAGCTCTATGGTATTGTTTTTTTGTGGCTTTAAACTTTAAACAAATAGCATAATACTTTTCATATTATTTTGCACCTTGCTTTTTTTCATTCAACATTTTTTTGAGATTTATTCATGTTGATACTTGCTCTCATTCATATTAGCTACTCTACAGTAATTTATTGTGCTGTCACACATTCTGTTTTAATTCTTCTATTGTTGGCCACTTAGATTGTTTCCAGTATTTATTATTCAGAAAAATGATGTACTGAACATAATCGTATGTGTCTTCTTATTCTACAATATTCTACAGATTGACTTTGGTGTGTCCGTGGGAATATTCATATTTTATTTACTTTGGTATTTTAAGTATATTTAAATGAGAATTTATACCTCTTTTCAATTCTGAAAAAATTTTTACTCACTCTTCGTGACTGTTCTCCTTCATTTTCTCCATTCTGTTTTTCTGGAACTCCTACCAGCTTCTCCATTTAAATGCCATGTCTTTCTTCGTACTGCTCTTCGATATTTCGTCTCTTTGCCTCTGCGCTGTATTCTGAGTGAACTATTCAATATTGTCTTAAAATTCACTAGTTCTCCCTTCACCTGTGCTGTCTACAGTTTTTTCTGCCTATTGAGTCTTTAAATATTTCAATGACTATAGTTTTCAATTCCTATTTTCAAATTTGTTCTTTTACATATCCATTTGGGCTTGTTTAAATTCTGCCTATATGTTTCATAATTTTGTCTTCTGTGTTAATATATACGACTAATGCACTATATTTTTGAGAACCTTAAATATTTGTTTTAAATAATTTCTATACTTTTAATATTTTAATATTATCTAGTGTAAATTTATTTTTCAATTGTTGATTTTTTTGGCTAACTTTTGTAGAGTTAGATTTTTTCCAAGTATTTTATAATGCTGGATCTCAGAATCATTTTGAGGTAGGAGATTTTCTCTCTCTTTTTTCCTTCCTTCTTCCCTTCCACTCTTGTCCCCTTCTGTCTGAGCATTTCCTTGGCTAGCAGTTTTCTGGTGGCCTCTATCCATTTTCCTGGAGTCCCCAGCTCCAAACTGGTACTTCTATTGGCAGTTTAGAAATGTATCTATTGTTAATATTGAGACTAATATAGACCCAGTTGAGGATCCAGTGGCTCCATGGTTCATTTCCTGGTTATGAAGCTATGTCTGTGCTCACTGGCCTCCTTTGGCATGTTCTGAATAAGCTGTTGTTGCAGACAGTGGTAGGCAGCAGTTTTCTCATTCCTCTTTAATGAAAAGAGACCCTGTTCTTCTAGAGTGATCCTGGATCTAGTTCCTGCTGCAGGTGGAGAACTTTTAGTTTCTGTTAATCTGCAGGAGCTAAATTCGTAGCTGCCTTTACCTGCTTACACCTGTAATTCAGCAGGCCCTCAGCTTCATCCCTAGTCACAGCTTTTAAAAATATTTTCTCTTTTATTTGTGGCACATGGAAATATTTATCTCTCTTATGAACCATTACATACCTTTAAAATGTTCTCTTTTTTGCATTTTTTTAGATCCTTGCTATGTGCTTGCTGGATATAAGGCATCTCAAAGTGTGGATTTATAATGTGATATTGAGCAGAGAAGTCTTATTAATAATCTTTAGAGGTCACAGAAATAATACACATAATATCTAATGCAAAAAACCCCAAACAAACCCAATCTATTTCCTTTTCATTAGGAAAGTAAACATGTGGTCCAAGTGGAGAAATCTGAAAAAGGTTTCTGAATTCTTTTTTTCTCCTTTTCTTCTCCTGCTTTTTTCCTTTCCCACCACTCTCATTTGTGACCTTTTTTTTTTCTCTTTCACCATCCCTCTGCTTCCCCTTCTCTTCTCTTTCCATTTCCCTGTTTTCTGATCCCCTTCCTCTATCTTCCCTTCCCTCTTTTTTACTTCCCTTCTCTGACTTTCTCCTACGGTTTCTCTTCTATTTAGGTCGAGTTTTCTAATGATCCTCCACCTCCAGTATTGCCTCTGTCCTCTCATGCCAGGTAACAGGAAGAGGCAGGTGTACCTCATGCTTACATGCAGGCAGGGCCCCACCCAAGGAAAGTCTGTGATGCTGTGACCGGAGGGAGAGAGCGTCTCCAGACTTGCCCTGAGAGGAGTTGTGTGAGGAAGAAGCTCATATTTACCAAAATGTGTCATAGGCCAAGCAAAGCACATAGATGGAGGAATTAACTATATGTTTTTCATTTAACTTTCACAAACTTCTGTGAAGTATGTATTATTTCTTTCACTTCACAGAAGAGGAATCTGAGACTTGAAGTGGTTAAGGAATTTGCTTAAGCTAGTAAGTGGTAGAGCTGAGATCAAAACATAAATAGGTGTGCTTCTTTCCTCTATACCGCAATATCATGTACATTTGATCAGTGATTAAGAAAATAAAACTTGAAATCGGAATTTCTGGCTTTAGGAGTAGCAGTGTACTGCCTATGGAGATTAGGCGGGGGGTGGGGGTGGGGACTTGGAACTTCCACAGAACCCTTGAAATAATACCATAAAGGCAGCCACATGCCTTGTGCAGACCGTGGGGCCCAACCTCTTTGGACCATCTCTAGTCTGTACCTCCTGTAACTTCTTGGACAATCTCTACCGATCTCTAGACTGCATTCTCAATGCCCCTCACACAGGGAGTGAGCAGACTCCCCTTGGTGTGGTGAGGGTGTTGGGCTCTTTGTTCAGGGACCTGCTAACCTGCTGTATTCCTTGTTCGCTCTACCCTGGTCCTCCCTGCAGGACACTCACACACAACACAGGATTTCACTTTTGAATTTAATGCAAAGAAAAACATCACAGAAACATTTTTAATACTCAGATACAGCCTAGATCCTGCCCACTTCCCAAGCAACATTCCAGACAGAAGAATTTTCTATCCTTTTACTTCGCTGTATATTCCCCTCCACTTAGACAGGGCAGTTGTCTGTTCCAGATCCTCAAATGCCCTTTTTAGTAAGTCTACCTGACTGTGCTTCTCACTGCTCAGCATCAGGTGTCTTTACATCCATGAGTATCTACATTCCCTTTTTTCTTGTTGTTTTCTTACCATCATCCCTCTCACTTCTGGTGACCACGTCTTCTCCTTACACTGAGAATCAATTTTGGTGTTTGTTAAATGCAGATCCCTGGGCTCCATTTTCACACGGTCTGGTTCTGTAGGTCTGGTTGCCCAGAAATCTTCATTTGTAAACAACTACTTCAGACCATTCCGGTATAGATGAACCACATACAATACCTTGAGAAACACGTTAATATATTTCAAATAAAAAAAAATTAGAAATGTTTTTGTGTCATTTTTTTTTTGAGCCTTAAAGTCATAAGAATAGTAAAAACCCAGACAGATTCCCCAAATGTTAACATTTTACCACTCTTAGTTTATCCTTCTCTCTCTATGTATATATATATGTATGTACATATTTGAGCATTAGCTATCATTAATTTTTAAATTAGCATTTACATTTTTATTAAAGTAATACATGTATATTGTATTTTAAAAATCAGATAATTGCACTATGAAAAGCACTAGCCCTGGTACTCTCTCTCCCCACCCCAGTGCCACTCCCTAGACAGAACTATTTAAACTCTTTTATTTTATTTATTTATTTATTTATTTTCTCAGTATACAATGTAGTTGATTATTGTGGCCCATTACTGAAACCTCCCTACCCCCTCCCTCTCCCCCCTCCCTCCCAACAACCTTATATCTGTTCGCTTGTTGTGACAACTTCAGGGAATTATAATTGTTGTGTCTTCTTCCCTCCCCACTCCCATTTTTTTTTGTATTTATTTATTTATTTTTAGCTCCCACCAATAAATGAGAACATGTGGTATTTCTCTTTCTGTGCCTGACTCATTTCACTTAATATAATTCTCTCAAGGTCCATCCATGTTGTTGCAAATGGCAGTATTTCATTCGTTTTTATAGCTGAGTAGTATTCCATTGTGTAGATATACCACATTTTCCATATCTGCTCATCTGATGATGGACATTTGGGCTGGTTCCAAATCTTGGCTATTGTAAAGAGTGCTGCAATGAATATTGGGGAACAGGTATACCTTCGGCTTCATGATTTCCATTCCTCTGGGTATATTCCCAGCAGTGGGATAGTTGGGTCCTATGGTAGATCTATCTTGTGTCATTTTTAAAGCCCTCAAAGATTCTCCAACAGAGGCAAAGGTTCAGAATCCTCTCATTGGGTTTAATTTATTCTTATCTCATTTAGTTGCCTCCTTCTTTCTCCCTACCACTTATTGGCCCAACATTAACGACAGGAGGACTCCTGGGAACTCCAGAGCAGTGGCCTAATTGGACTTCTGGGTTCCAGGCATGACTGGATACATACAGCCCCTTCCTCTCCTCTAGCTGACTCCTCCTTTCCCAAGGCAGAGCTCTGTTTGCATGCAGTGGGAATGGATCTTGTCTCATCACTACCTACCTTTAGACCTTAGGCCCAAGAGTTTTGTTTCTCCATTTTGGAGATTTCACTTGAAGCATGTCATGAGATCTTACTTTGGTTCTGGTTCTGATTACCATCTCCTTAACCTCCCTTCTCTGTCTGCCAATCTCGGTTCCGGCTACCTTGGATCGATAATTTGTAAATGTTCCCCAAGTGGTGTTACTGCCTTGTCCACTCTTGCATTCTTTTCAATATTTATTTGTTTGTTTTTTAAACTAATATTTATGGGGTGTGTATAGTGTTTAGGCTCCCAACTAGGCATGAGATTTTGATTCCTACCCAATTCCAACTGGAAAATGAAATTACCTCATTTTGTCAGACATCCACTTTCAATCCTACAGTGGTCTCTAAGTCCATGAGACTTTGAGGAGGAGGTTAAGCTGAAATCCAGGAAGAAGTCAATAGTATCTTGTCTCCTTCAGTGGGGCATGTCCTGGGATGAACTTTCCCCAGAGCCTTTGAAGAGCTCTCCTTACCTCTTGATTCTTGAGGCTGTAGATGATGGGGTTGACCATGGGCGTGAGTACAGTGTAGAGGACAGAGAAGGCCTTTCGGAGCAAGGGGGCCATGTGGTCTGTTGGGGCCACATAGACCACGATGAGGGTGCCATAAAACATCCCGACCATGCTGAGGTGGGAGGAACAAGTACAGAAGGCTTTCTGCCTCCCATGGCTTGAAGGTATTTGCAGCACAGCCCTCAGGATGAAGGTGTAAGATGCCATAATCAACAGGAATGGGGCCAGGGTCAGGCAGGCTGAGATGCTGACTCCAGCTCCCCACATGACCCCCACATCCCCACAGAAAAGCTCTACAACTGGAGCAAAGTCACAGAAGTAGTGGTTGATCTCTCTGCTCCCAGGACAGAGGGACAGAGGGGCTGCCAGGGCCAGAGTGAAGGCAGAAAAAAAGAAGCCGCCGAACCAAGCACCAGAAGCCAGACAGCTACAAATCCAGGTGCTCATCAGGGCACGGTAGTGGAGGGGGTGGCAGATGGCCAAGTAACGGTCATAGGACATGGCAGAGAGCAGGAGGCACTCAGTGGCCGCCAGTGAGGCAAACATGTAGAACTGGACCAGACAGCTGACCAGTGAGATGACTTTCCTCCCTTCCAGGAGACTCCACAATAGCCGAGGCATGAGGTTGGAGGAATAGCCAATCTCCAGTAGGGAGAAGTGGCAGAGGAAGAAGTACATGGGTGTGTGCAGTATCCGCCTGGAGGCCACGGCCAGCAAGATGAGGGCATTTAACCCAACTGTCACCACATAGATGGCCAGAAAGAGGGTGAAGGGGAGAAAGCCCAGTTGTCGCAGCTCCCCGAAGCCCACTAGGATTAGCCAGGTGGTCTGGTTCTCACGGTCACCACTCGACTGCTTCCTCATCTAGATCTGGGCCCAAGGGAAGAGAGGAAAGTGACTAAAATTAGCCAAGATCCTATTATGGCCATACTGCATGCTTGGCTTATTCACTTATTCATCACAGCAGGCATTGGAGACAGGACTTATTGTCTTCTGTTGTCAGAAGAGAAACAGACTCAGTGAGTTTAACTCAATTATTCAAGGTCGCTATAGTGGAGTCATCATTTGAACTCAGGTTTGTTTGACTCCAAAGCTCCTGAAGAATCTACTGTTCTACAATGCTTTCCCAAACACTTTCAGAATTCTAAAAATGTCAGAACTAGAGAGTAGCATAGCACTCCTTCAGTCATCAGGGAGCTTCTTACCTGGCAATCCTGGCTGAGCACCAGTGGGAGTACCAGATCTGGGGAACTCTTCTGGAAGGGTGAGAGAGGTACCCAGGGCCTAAAGGGGAGGTGGTCCTACTCCGAGGCCATGCATGTCCCTGAGGCAGCCACTCATCTCAGACTATTTTCCCTTTCCAATAAAGTGAGATTTGCAAATGCAGATAAGCAATCTTTATCATCCCCTCCTTGAGGGATGCATTATAGAAAGATCTGAATTAACTCAAGTTCCAATCCCCTGAGAAGCTGTTTTCTCTCCTTGGACAAGTGGCCTAGTGAACCTTGGTAAAGCCATTTCCAAATTTTGCCCAGTCTCTGGTCAGTTTGTCAGTAGCTGGGAATACTTTATTTTTTTTTGTTCTTATGCCATATATTCTCCATAGTTGTTAAATGCTCAATTTATCTCACCTAATTGTGGTTGTTTAGAAATTTCTACACTAGTACAAGTTTCCTTCTCTTAGTTACTGCAGTATTACCTTAACACCAAAAGCACAAAAGAACCATGATAAGTACTTGCAGAAGGAATAATAATATATGTAATGAATAAATGAATAAGTTACAATAATTTTCCAATAGCAAATTGCCATGGAAAAATTGCAGCAGGTGACAATTAATACTTGGGCCAGAGAAAGAGACATTTAAATGTCTACTAAGGAGAGAAGGAATCTCTGGGTTCTCTCCTAACTCAGGGAATACTGGAATATTGCCATTCAGAGTTTGAAATGGAACCATGGTTAAGATTCGAGATAGACGTCAAAGAGGTTTGTGTGTGCATGTATGTGTGTCAGGAGGAAGGAACCAGAAAGCTCAACGTCATATACAGTCCTCACATTTTTGAAGATAAAAAAGGTGACATTCCACTCTAGCAGATGGCAGCGAGAACACAGGGTTTTTGCGTTACTGCCTCAGTCCTACCTTTTCCTCTGGATTTGGGTTTATATTGTGTAGACACACATTCAGTCATGTGGGGGTGCAGACACAGAACAGGTCGAATACTTTCATATGGACTTGAACGTATTTTGTTTTCTATACTAGTAACTTCTTAAAGAGCCAGGAAGAGACTTGAACTGAGAGTGAAATAGGACCCTGGGTTTAGCAGAGAGATGGAGCAAAGGAAGAAACTAGGAAACTAACCAAACCTTCCAACCAGTCAACTGACCCAGAATTTCTCAAGCGTAGACTCTGAACCAATGCTTGTGATAAAAAAGTTATGGGCTGGCTGGTTAGCTCAGTTGGTTAGAGTGTGGTGTTATAACACCAAGATCAAGAGTTTGGATCCCCTTACCACCCAGCCACCAAAGAAAAAAATGTTACTAGTGCCCTTGCCCACCAGTGTATTCAACCTTGGTCCCTGGTAAAATTATTATTATTTTTTTCCTTTTTGTCTTTTTTACTGACTGGTAATGGGATCGCAACCCTCGGTGTTGCTCCCATGCCTCGCTCAGCCAGTGAGCGGGAACCGGTCTCCACATGGGATCCGAACCCTCGGCGGGAGCGCCGCCGCGCTCCCAAGCGGCACACTCTCCAGTGCACCACCGGGCCAGCCTCCTGGTAAAATTCTTAAATAGATATTTTATAGAATAGTTAGAAGTCTCATAAGGGATCACCAGGAGCTTTTTTATGCTAGTTATAATGTGAAACTTCACATAGTGTCCTTTATTGAGAGTATTAGTAATTTATTAGATCAGGAGAAAGGAGTAGAAAGGGACATATTAAGTTTATTAAAGCTTCATAGAAAAGACGTTGACTGTGTGTGTAAAGATAACACTTTTATTTTGGCTTAAAACACTAAAAACAAGATGAAATGTTATAGGGGCAAATATATAATCTACATTTGGGCTTTAACCATCACTTAAACAAGAAGGGTAAGACCTGACTCAGCCATTTATGTAAAAATGGTTTGGGTTTTTTTCTTGATTATCATGAGTTAGGACTTGAGGACTATGAAATACATGGACTATATGAAGAACGTGGAGATGTTTAATTTGGAAAAGACAAAACTAGTGGAAGAATACAATAGCTGTTTTTAATAATTCGAGGGACTCTTAAGAAGAAGAGGAATTATATTTAGTCTCAGAGGGCAGAACAAGGACCAAGGGGGTGGTGGTGGAGGAAAACCCATGACTATTCACCTGTGCTGGTTTCCTAGAGGTGATTCTTATGGGGCTATTGTTATTTACAGCTTTATTTTTGGGTATGAAGATAAGGTGCGGCTCAGGGGACAGGGTCAGAGTGGGGGAAATGGAGGTCCTTCTTTGAGCCTCCAGAAGTTTGTTGCCAAATATGGGCCTTATCCATTGGAACTTCCTGGAACAAACACAAGACAATTCCAAAATATGGTAAGCTCTCTTCTGTATCTGTTTAGCTTGAGTCAGAGGTCCTCTCTGTAGGCAGAGAGCGGGGTCAACCCAGATGACCTCTAGATACTCGGACACAGTGGAGGGGGGAGCTGACCTGCTTTGAGCTTGGAGTCCACTTCTCTGCTGGATGTCTGACTAAATTCTTCTGCCAGCTGACTGCTCTATGGACGTTCTGATTCCATCCTGTGCAGCCTTCATGTTATTGGCTCCCCCATCCCCAGGGTGCTCACAGAAGACTGTCATCCCTATTCTGTATGTGCTGCTGTGGACACTACTGCCTTTTCTAGAGCAGAATCGCCTCCCTCCCTTGTGAGGGTTGGAGAAGAGACTCCTTAGAGAGGGGATGTAGCTTGGAGACAACTGAGCAGCTGCATCTATGTTTTGGTTCCAGGGGGATGTTCTGGTTCACAAAGGACCACATACAGGTGTTTCACTTAAACGTGATGACCTCCTCCCTATGAGACAGGGAAAGACTGGCAAGATATAAGAATAGCCACAATTAAAGCCAACATTTATTTAATGCTCTACAATTCATAAATGTTTATAAATATATAATTCATACACATGGATTATCAAGAGTATGACCTCTGAGGGCTGGATTAACAGTCTTTGTACTCTGGCATGGGTTATGACCTAAGGTCCTGCTTTAATCTCTTAGCAAGGAGGAGGCAGGAGGAAACTGCTATATAATTCTGTAGATAATTTGTTTTGTTTAGTTTGGTAGTTTAATGTCACAGATTAACATAAAACCAGGTCAGGTCTCTTCAAGATAATAGAGGCAGATAGAAAAATACAGCCGAATGACAAATGTGAATAAGAAACCCTGCTGCAGAAATATAGCACTGAGTTCCTTCCATACGAAAGCAGAGAGCAGATCTGGGCCAGGAGGAGGACAGCACCGGGTCTGGGCCAGGGCTGGGTTCTCTTGGTGACAGGCTAGGAATGGCTCTTCCTGGAAGAGGTTGGACAAGTGTCTCACCTTGGCAGAAGGGAGGCAGAGTGGAGAGCTTTAGATGAGAAAAAGGTGACCTGCAAGGAAGTAATTAGCATATTTTCTTATGAAGCCCTAGGTCTTGGATTGTGTAAAGAGCCTGAGGGAGATTCCAGATGAGAGAGAGATGAATAAGAGCCTTTTCTAGGTAGAAAGGAAAGCCAGTATTTATTGACTTAGAATTTATAATAGTAGTAAATATACCCAACTTGTGCTTAAAAGTAGGTTTTAATTTTAGCCCTTTTTCTGGTGATATGTGAATTTAAAGTAGAAACAAAGGATTTATATGCTGTTTTTTGGTTATTAAATTATGTCTTTGTATAAACATGTATCATAACATTAATTCATCCAATAAATATTTATTGAGTGCTTATGACCTGTCAGTCTAGCTGTTCTAGACTCAAGGTATAGAGCAGTGAACAAAATAAGTTGGTTAGTAGAGTATGTATTTACTACTTGAAGTTACACATGCCTTGATGATGAGGTCATGTTATCCTCATCAGACACCCCTTTCATCCAGAGGCAGCTTTCCTGAATGCAGGCATCCTGTCTGGGTAAAACTTCACCTTGATAGGATTAGCTTCTTGTAACCCTCATCTCAACAATTGATTGCTAATTGATGTAAGCATCAGGAATGATTGGAAAGAATATATACAGGAGAATGTGGTTAAACCAGGCTGCAAAACAATGATACTAAGAGACCATTCATTGAATAGTTCTTCTGTGCTAGACACTCCAATAAGAGTTTTACAAAGCTGTTTCATTGAAGCCTCACAAGAATCCTAGGAGGTAGTCCTTATCATTAGCTACAGTTTATGTATATCAGGCAATTACAGCACAGACAGGTCAAGTACATTGTTCAGGATCACACAGTTAGTAAGTGGTGGAGCCAGAATTTAAATCTGACATTTCACATAGTTTTGCCTTTGTATAATAGAGAAGGGTAAATAAAAGATAATAAGAAAGGGCCGGCCCGGTGGCGCACTGGAGAGTGCGCCGCTTGGGAGCTCAGCGGCGCTCCCGCTGAGGGTTCAGATCCCATGTGGAGACCGGTTCCCACTCACTGTCTGAGCGTGGTGTGGGCGCAACACTGAGGGTTGCGATCCCGTTACCAGTCAGTAAAAAAGACAAAAAGGAAAAAAAAAAAGATAATAAGAAAAAGAAGAAAACTGTGATGAATTGTTCTGGACCATAAAATCATCTCCAAAGGCTTGCTACCTCCTGATTTTAAGGATTGTGGAACAGACAGATGTACAGACTTACATAAAATGTACCCTAACTTGGTTCCTA